CCGGAGGAACAATGCGGATTCCGACCTGGGTGATCCACCATCGACATGCTGTTCGTCCTGCGCCGACTCCAGGAGTTGAAGCGGAGAAGGAGGATACTACTCTACATGTGCTTTGCCGACCTCAAGAAGGCGTATGATTCGGTGGACGAGAGCTGCTGTGGAAGGTCCTGGCCAGGGCCAGGATCCCTGAAGAGATGATAGCCGTCATCCGCCAATTCCACCACAGAATGCGGCCCGGGTGAGCACGGTCGACGGAGAGTTTTCGGCCTGGTTCTTGGTCACACAAGTCTACGACAAGGGTGTGTGCTGTCCCCATTGCTGTTCAATGTCTTCTTCGCCGCGGTCATGGAGGTCGTTGCCATTCGATTCAGCGAGGATTCTGTTATTCCGCAGAACCTCGTGTAACTGGAGGAGGAGACGGGAGCGGAGGCGAGGACACCACTAGACCGAGCGCGGAGGGCGGTATGGGGCATGCTGTATGCCGATGACGCCGGCGTCGTATCGAGGTCTGCCGAAGGACTGGCGAGAACGATGACCGTCATCGTGAAGGTGTTCGGGGAGTTCGGGCTGACGGTATCGGAGAAGAAGACGGAGACGCTCCTGTGCGTGCAAAGGAGAAGCAGACAAAAACACCACCGCCCCCCCCGCCGCCACCGCTGATCATCGAGGCAGCAGGGCAGAGGTATGCCCAGACGACTGAATTTTGGTACCCNTCGGGGAGTTCGGGCTGACGGTATCGGAGAAGAAGACGGAGACGCTCCTGTGCGTGCAAAGGAGAAGCAGACAAAAACACCACCGCCCCCCCCGCCGCCACCGCTGATCATCGAGGCAGCAGGGCAGAGGTATGCCCAGACGACTGAATTTTGGTACCCAGGTGGCCTCGTCAACGAACATGGCGACCTCACCCGGGAGATCAACTACCGGAGCAGAGCAGCGTGGGAATGCGTTAGGAGATATGTCCAGGAGCTCTTCGACAGGCCGAAGGCACCGTTCCGACCGAAGACTCTCCTGCTCCAGGCCCAGGCGATGGAGGCACTGCTATACGGCTGCATGACATGGGCCTCACGTCAAGACCAATACCGGACGTTGCGGACGATACACCACCGACTGCTCCTGCGAGTTATCGGTTACCAACGCAAGAAGGGCACCTACCGACAGCTTTTCTACGCCCAGACCCTGAAGAGGGCNGAATTTTGGTACCCAGGTGGCCTCGTCAACGAACATGGCGACCTCACCCGGGAGATCAACTACCGGAGCAGAGCAGCGTGGGAATGCGTTAGGAGATATGTCCAGGAGCTCTTCGACAGGCCGAAGGCACCGTTCCGACCGAAGACTCTCCTGCTCCAGGCCCAGGCGATGGAGGCACTGCTATACGGCTGCATGACATGGGCCTCACGTCAAGACCAATACCGGACGTTGCGGACGATACACCACCGACTGCTCCTGCGAGTTATCGGTTACCAACGCAAGAAGGGCACCTACCGACAGCTTTTCTACGCCCAGACCCTGAAGAGGGTAGGGTGCCAGAGCGTGGAAACCACTATCCGGCAACGGCGCCTGCTGTTCGCGGGAGCGCTGGTAAGGCAGCCAGACGGACGACTCCCGAAACGGGTGATGCTTGGAAAACTGGCAGGGGGGGAGGGCCCAGGCAGGGGGAAACCGTAGCAAAAATGGCAGATGTGCCTGAAGGACGACCTCAAGATGTTCGAAGCAGAGCACGGATCTACGGACGCCGAACCATGCTTCTTCGGAGTCCCGGAAACAACTTGCTTCGAAGCAACGAAGGTGGACCGGGGGGTACCGTGGCATACAGGGGTACTGCAGGGAGGAGCTAAGAGGTTCATAGCCTCCTGGCACAAGAAGGAAGAGGAGGCGCCGACAACGAGCGCTCGAACGAAACAAGGAGCCCGACAACAACACGGACAAGGCAACAACCACGGGGGTGGGACGGGTACAGCAGGCGGACGAGAAGGCGAGGAAACGCAGGAAACGCGAAGAGGTGGACCGAGTGGCGCGAAACACGGTGCCGAATCGAACCCCTTGCTTGACTTATCCCCCCCCCCCCCCCCCCCCCCCCCCCCCCCCCCCCCCCCCCCCCCCCCCCCCCCCCCCCC